TTCCTTAATAAATGCACTTTAATGGTCAAATCAGCTGCGTTTCAAAAATCGATTTACGGCTGGGGGAGCGCGTAGAGGGAGGACTCGCTGTGCATTTCTTCGAAATTTAACAAGATAACCACCTAAAAACAATTATTTGTTTGCTTGACATTATAGCAAAGATGTGTCTCAGTTGAACTCGCCCTGAATGAATACACTTTAATGGTCAAATCAGTTGCAGTTCACATGGGCGGCGCAGTGAAATGCAGCTGAGTTGACATTTGCTCCAGGAGTTCCGGAGCAAGACAAAGATGGCTTGGTACGGCAAGCCAAGTGTCTCATTAAAAGCCACTTTTACACTTGAAGTTCCCATCTGTGGGACAATAAAGGCTGTTTCTATTCTATTCTATTCTATTCTATTCTATTCTATTCTATTCTATTCTATTCTATTCTATTCACTTGTATCTATTAATGAGACGCTTTGCATAATGCTCAAGGGCCCTCTAGTGGCTGCAAATAATAATGTTTAATATTTGCCATGTCAGAATTAATGAAATCGTCAGATCTCAGCCAAAAATCGGGTTATAAAGTTGGGGGGGGGGGGGGGGGACATATATTAGGTGCTTCAGTGTATAAGTCGCAGGAGTTGCAAATGTATGCAAAAAGGTGCAACTTGTATGCCTGAAAACACGATATATAATGAACAAAATGTCTTTGTTTTATCCAGTTTTGTAGTTTTGTGGTAGGAACCTTATTTTAGATGGAGGCTAAATACAGCCACAAAACATTAGGATAAGTCATTTTTACTAAGACGCTTCTGGTCTTGTATGTTAATTTATTATTTTTATTGTCATGATCTGGTTTTGTATGTCTGTTTTAGTGCATTGAGAAGTCCTTTTTCCCTGTGTTGATTGTGTTATTGATTCATAGTGAAGTGTTCACTGATGTGCCACAAGCCATGCAAAGATCCTGCTGAGGTGTCACGGCTGGAAGATGGCAGTCCCTGGTTGCTCTTCACCACAAAGCCTGGGCAGAGTACAACATGTTTTCTGTCTCTCAAAACTGAGCAGAAAATCAATTAAAAGGAGAAAAAAACAAATCATTTGTCAAGTACATGGCAGATGTGGCTCTTCTTCTGTCTTTGTTACAGATCTCTAAGCCATTATATATTCTGCTCAGTTTTGAGAGACAGAAAACATGTTGTAAT